TCATCTCTTCCTTGTGACCCTTCTGTAAGAGGATGTCCAATTGTCTACAGATGGGCTTTGGACCTCCACTCCGCCCTCACCCTCATTCACATTAATATGATTTTTTTGGTCTGGGTCTTTGATGCCTGATACCTGATCCCATCGACACCTCATGATCACACAGGCAGGCATGCTTCTCCCATGTGGACTTTGTTGCTTCTGAGCTAGATGGCCATCTGCTACCTTGTTACTTAACATATAAATATATGCACATAGATCTATTTCCCTATCATTAAGTATATAAATACATTTACATATATCCATGCCAGTATTAGACCTTTGCCTCCTAGGTCTTTCCTCTATTTCCTTTTACTTTCCTCTTGCCCCACTATCATGTTGGGACTTCATTTGGGTTTCAGTCATTCCTCCAAGAAACCTTTTCACAGATTTGGTGTGCATTGGTCTTCACAAAGGACTCCTCCCACTTGGAAGTAGGCTCCCTTTTAGCTAACCCACACAGTATGGGCAGAAAACAGGAGGAAGGCAAGTCAACCAAGAGGACAATACCTCTTAATTAACAAAGGAACACACGTCCCATTGCATGTTGGGGATGGCATGGACGGTTACCCACAGTTGCAACCTGCATTTGCAAAGACAGTGCGAGTCTCCCAGCACCGTCACTTCAGATCTCTTCCAGATGAATTATGAGACGGTTGTCCAATGAATTTTGCCAATAGGATACCCATGGGAAGCTGGGAGAATTTAAAAGCACTGAACTTTGAAATAAAACCTGGAGCCTCTCTTCTCTGAGCAACAAAATAATACTCTTCTGATAACTGAATATCATCACATCTCTTCTTAAGTTGCCTTAAATTGGGGACTGTTAAAAACAAAGACCAGCAAAGCACTTGTTTTATCAGCCGACACCTATCTCTTTTGGTAAGTGATCTTAGGTCAGGATACCTTTACTCACCTCCCTGATTCTATACATCAAGATAACCCGAATCAATTCCAATGGACGACTTTCCCAGTGTTTCAAAGAGGCAATCAAGATATCTTGGCAATAAGTTAATTAAATGATGCCCACCTTCCACCACTGTTTTATTTGGGGGTGGGAGGAGGGGTGTTGGCAGAATACAATAATCCCTCACTCTGGTAATGTTTTCATCAAGATACACCACACTTTG